TGAGGCTGTAGTTTTTTGTGGCTAGTTGGAATGGTGGGAATTTTGTCATATTATGTTCCTTGGAGCCTGGTCATGATTGTAGACTTAAGTAGCTCTTGTTGCATGGGGGAGCTAAAATTGCCTGCCATGCTACAGTGTTCCCAGTAACCGTAGCAACTTCTGCTCTTGGCACCTAGGTCCTTGTCAGGGTGTGGTAGGTCCTATACTTCTGTCTCCAGACCTCCACTATTGTGATAACGTGCAGCAGAACAGTGGACAGCCATCTGATAAGTGGATTGTATTGCAACACAGTTGGTGAGGCAGGTCTGCTACTTGATGTGTGCAGATTAGTCAACAGCTATAACACCAGTCCCCCCAGAGTTTGGAATTACAGGTGGTTCCTGACTAGGGTGGGGTGGTTTTGTAGTAATGTGCACTCGGGAAACTAGAGTTGGGATTCCGAATTTAGTGCTTTTCCCAAGCTGTGGTGTCCTGATGAGTTTTGATGCTAGGCTCTCAGGTATCGTGTGATCACCATGTAACAATTGGCACCTACAATGCTCTCCTGGTAAGCTGGGGTGCTTGCTAGGACAAGTGTGTTAAATATCTGGCTAGGCCATTTCCACCCATGCTTGTAAGTCACAGAGCTTGCCAGGCCTTGAGGTTGGGAGGCTGTGAGAGGCAAGAGTCCACAGGAGCATCACCTAATGGCAGTGACGGTCTTTGGAGATGGATACTGTCTTGTTTGATGATGGAAAATGAGATTTAGTAGCATCTGAAAGGACAAGGAAAGAGCCTGGGAGTTTTTGATTACATGGCCAGGTTAAAATACTTGAGCTTATTGCAGTTGAGATTAACGTGAAAGTCCCTGTTACTTTCCTGGCTTGCTTGTCATTCAGACAAAGGTAGTTTCTGGGATGCTGGCTGGATATGCAGCCTCTTTAGGAAACAAATATGTTAAGACAAGGACTGGTGGTTGGCCCTGAACTGAAGGGGAATCCTGATTCTTTCCTAGGTGTGTGTGAGCCATCACACTCAGGTGTTTTCCCTTTTATTCCAAGGGTTTCTTGTGTTATGTTGCTGATGTTTGTCATTCTTTCAGCCGCACCCTCACTGCAGTACACGATGCCATCCTTGAGGACTTGGTCTTCCCAAGCGAGATTGTGGGCAAGAGGATCCGTGTGAAACTGGATGGCAGCCGGCTCATAAAGGTTCATTTAGACAAAGCACAGCAGAATAATGTGGAGCACAAGGTAAGGGCTTGACACTCAGGAAGAAAAGAGGAAGGTCCAACCCCTGGGACAGAATAGTCCCTGGTCCACAGCAGCTCTTCCCCATCGGGTTTAGTATTGGGAATGCTTTACAAATTGGAGTGCTTTGGACCCTTCTAACTGACTAGGAGATGTGGAAACATGTGCCCGGTCTAATGGACTCCAGTTTCAAGGAGGACAAATCTTATGACAGCTTAGATGGGTGATGGTCTATTAGGATGGAGGGGGCTGCTGCCTTGATACCTGCCACCCATTGGTCCCCGAGTAGGTAGCTTGGTTTGACCAGGAGTTGCAGGGACATGTTGTACATAGTCCTTATTGTCTATATAGTTGCTGGAGAAAATCCGTACAGGATGCACTAGCCTTTCGTGCTGTTGCAGAAGATTTAAAAGTTAGTGATGATTTCTGTCTTCTTTTTCAGGTTGAAACTTTTTCTGGTGTGTATAAGAAGCTCACAGGCAAGGATGTAAATTTTGAATTCCCAGAGTTTCAGTTGTAATGTAAAATGACTGAATAAAGTGTCATTCATATTTGTTGTGTCTTTTTCAAGTCTAATGGAAAGGTGTGTGTGAGGGTGTACAGAGGATGCATGCTCTATTCCCCACACTTAATGGGTTAGCTCACAACTGTTTTAAGCTTCAGGATCTAATTCATAACCTCTGGGGCCACCAGTCATACACTTTGGGGTCATATACATACATGAAGGCAAATGTTCAAAAATCTATAGAAAAGACATTACTAAAGGCTGGTGAAGCTGTTTCTGCTACTTGTGTTCTTAACTATCCAGTGAGGACCTCAGGAGTTATTTGACAGTATACAAGGTACTTTGGAACGTGCAGTTATCACCATTACCTTGATTTATAAACTTGAAGTCAAATAGGAGAGAAGGGTTCATGAGGTCCCAACACCCTCCTTGGGCTTCTGCTAATTAGCAGTTGGTTGGGTATGGGGAGGTTGCTAAGTACACAGAGGCATTGTTTGCAGTTCTGGAGCCAGTAGTGACTTACCTATGCTCCAGTGAACAGTCCCACCCATGCCCATGCAAGCAACCAAAATTAAACTACGTTTACAAACAGATCAGAGATGGTGTCCTGGCTAGTTTTGTGTCATCTGAAAGGAAATAGGAAAATGCCTCCATTAAGATTCAACTGTAAAGCATTTTAGTGGTTGAGGGAAGGGGTTGTCCAAGGTGCTACAAGAGAGTGAGCAAGCCAGTAAGCAGGATGTCCCAGCCAGCTGTTTGTAATTGTGCCCTAACTGCACATAACATGGTGTGGAAACATGCTACATCCATGTTGGTATGACATCTGACACTATGATGGCTTTGTTACCCATACTACTTCATGCTCTAATATCAGTATGCCTAATAAACTCATTGGCTTTGGAACCTGGTGTTTGTTGGGAGTCCCTGAAACAACAGAATTTTAAACAGTTGAAAGTATTTTAAAAATTTGGGGTGGGGGTGGTGCACACCCTTAATGCCAGTACCCAGGAGGCAGAGGCAGGTGGATCTCCGTGATTTCAAGGCTAGCCTGGTCTGAGCGAGTTCCAGAACAGCCAAAGCTATACAGAGAAACCCATCTTGAAAAGCCAAAATAAATAATGAAGTCTACCAACTACTAGTATACTTTTGGAAGTAACTTAAATTGCTGATTTTCTAATTGCCTTGGGAAGGCTAGCTTTGTTTACCTCGCTTCGTGTCTAGACTCAGGTGGCTTGAAGAGACAGTGAAACACCAGGTGGTGGTGGCAGCAGTGGCAGAGGTGCATGCCTCTAACCCCAGCACTTGAGGGGCAGAGACAGGCCGATCTCTGAGGACAGCCTGGTCTACTGAGCGAGTTCCAGGACAGAGAAACCCTGACTCAAAAATACAGAGACAGTGAAAGGACTGAGAAGGTCCATGTAGAGTCAGTGCCCAACAGTGTCCACCTTACAGCTGCCCTCCAGACTTTCTGGCCGTGTGAGGAAGCCACAACTATATGATTTTTGCCCTGGCTGTTCACTCCGGCATGTTTATATGCCTGTTCTTTACTCTGAGTGATGGTTCTGCTAGGCCAGCCACTATACACAGTAGGTCCTCTGGTTCTATCAGTCTCTTGTACTGTTCCCTAGGGCTGTACAGCAGCTCGAGTAGGCTAGCACAGCTGGCCCTTGAGGCGTGAGGTGTAAGGCTAGTCACAGCTGATGTGGGGCTGCTGTCATACTGGTGTAGACTCAGTGAAGTCCTGACATCCTCTGTGAGGCTGGTAGTGGGTGTCTCTGGCTCAGCCACCTCAGCCTTGAGATCGCCTTACAAATGAGCACTCTGGAATCCCTACACTCAAGCTATCAGTTCAGAAACACTAGGGTCTAGAGCAGGAGAGGTGGCTCAGTGGATAAGAGTGTTTACTCTGCAGAGAACTGAATTTGGTTCCAGCATTCACATGGCCGCTCATGACATCCTGTATCTCCAGTTCCAGGGCATCTGATACCCTCTTTCTGGCGTCTGTAGGCACCACCAGGGCAGGCTCCTGTCGTGTAAATAGTGCAATCCAGAATCTTAGCACTGGGTAAATGTGTTAAATGGTTATGTACTCAAGACCTATTAACAAATTGGCAAGAAGAGATTTCAGATGCCTGTACCCTGGTCTCTCTGTATCCCAGAATGACTGGGCTTAGGAGAGTGTAGTGGGTCAAGTACTGTGCCCTCTCCTCTCCGGAAACTCAGGCGGTCTCAGTAAGTGATGTGGACCTTTGGGGAGGTGACCATGGTGAATGTCCTTATGGACAAAAGTGTCCCACAGATAACAGCAGCACGTCCGGTGTGACCCCCACTGAAGTTTCCCATCCAGAGCAGAGTGCGTTTCATGTGATTCTTGTATCCAAACTCCATGGTTATCTCAGAGAGATGTAAACACGTGCTGGATGTGAGCCAGGCTTGTTCTGGCCAGGAATGAGAGGGTCTATGTAGTCAGAGCTTCCAGGCAAACGGCTCTAACCCGGGCCTGTGCTGTCAGGACAGAGAAGAGGAAGCAGTGGGCAGCTTCCAGGGGAGGAGTAGCCAGTATTTCCTGGTGACTTGACCCTAGTTTGTCACTCCAGGATCAGTTTATAATACAAAAGTTATAACTCACAATCTACTCAACATAGACAAGTTAAATTAACAGTTTGTGTAACAGGGAGTATTTTGTTGGCACCTTTTAAAAAAGCCCTTGGGGTGGACTGGGGAAATAGATCAGTTGATTGATAGTGTCTGACTGAGTTCAGTCCCTGAGTTCAATCCCCAGTACCAGCATAAGGAAGTGGTAGGTGGCTCATGTTATACCAGCACTAAGAGGTCGCATAGAACCCTTGGCCACTTGTTCAAGTTGCTGTGGTGATATCTTGAAATAGTATATGTCTGAAAGCAGGTACATGTATGTATAGAGATTTGTGCCTCCCTCATTACTCTCCTTTATTTATTTATTTATTTTATTGGAGACACAGTGTCACTGTGTACTCCTGGCTGTCCTGAAACTTGCTACATAGTGCAAGCCGTCCTCTAACTCAACAACACTCATGCTTCAGTCTTCAGAGTGCAGATTGCCAGTATGCACCATCATGATCAACATATGACCTTATTTGAAGGAAAAAAGAAAAAGAAAACTAAAAAAACTAGACAGAATGTTTGGGGTGGGGGTTGGCTGGGATCTCCAGGCACCCCAGCCTGGTAGCAGGGGCCACGTTCCCACACTCCTCAGGATCCTGCAGGACAGCTGATGGTTTCAGGCAGGAAGCTCTTTACAGATAAGGCTGCAGGCTTCAGCAGATTCGCTGGGCTGTCTGACAGCCCAGGCACGGGTTCCCACTGAGTTGGACTGCAGCTGGGCTCTAAATAAGCAGCCATGAGGTTTCTTGGAGCAGTATCTGTATCAGCCGGGGACCGTCAGGACAGCACCTTCGCCTAGTGTGTGTCCAGGTAGGAGATGCTGCCCCAGGGACACTAGGTCAGGATTGGACAGGTGTTGAGGTATGGACAGGAGGGTAAATTTCCAAACAGAGCTGGAGGGTAAACTCGGCTGTGGAATTTGGCAAGGTGAGACTCAGATCCAAGCATCCTGCAGTTGGTCCCTAAATCAGACACTAGAGTTCCAGAGTTTGTTTAGCTCAGTAGTTAATGGAGGAATCTTTGAGAAACCAACAGAGGCAGACTGTGACCAGTCAGTCAGTCCATAGATGATGTGATTACAGACACTTGTTACTTAGTGCCCAGAGGTTGGAGTAGTCATGTCTAACTCCAATGGGGGAGTAACATATCCCAGACTACTACTGAGCGGTGTTTATGGGGTGACAGCTGAGTAAGCTCTGTCCAGAGACCTACAGCTCAAAGGCACACTCAGCAGTGGATCTCAGGTGCAGGGTGGTGGCAGGCAGGAAGGGACATTTCTCTCAAGGGAGCCATCTAACAGTGGACATCCAGTCTCCCAACACTGGGAAGAGGAGCAGCTTGAAAGGGCAGTTGCTTGTTCCCTGACACCGGGCTTTAGGACTGGCTGTTGTGACTGAGTGGCCCCAGGAGGCAGCTCCAAATTGAAATGGTTACATTTGTAGGCCATTGTATGGCACGAAGAGGCTTGATTTGGTGAGCACTCCTGCCTGGGAGGGCAGAGCTTCACACCTCCACGTTGAGTTTCATCTCTGATTTTGAGACATCTGTGCCAGAGAAGAAAGAAATCAGACAGATCTCACCATAGTGTTGGAGAGATACTCTCTGTAACCTCATGGTGGGGGTGGGGGTGTCCTTTTAGGACAGAGGAGGCTTCCAAGTGATGGTACTGCTCCCAGCAGACAGTCCAGAGTCTGTGGGACTCAGGGCTCCATTGTAGCTGTTTAATGGACAAGTCAACGTGTGTGTTTGGCAGTATGGTTCCCCCTTCCCAGTCCATTCTTACGTGTTTCTCTTGTGAATCCCACATTTACTTACGCTCTCCCCAGAAAGCAGTCTCTTTGATAGAAGCAAGGCCTTAAGTCTTTGGGCCCTGGCTGAGAGATAAGGGTGTTGTTTTTAAAAAGGTTTCAGGGTTGCTGCATAGTCTCCGTTTATAAAACCAAATTCCTTTCCTGAGAGGGGGCTGACCAGGACACAGACCAGCTTGCTGGTGGGCATGGCGCCTGTCCCTACCCTGTCCTGGAATGAACTGGAGGACAGGACAGGGCCCTGTCATATAAAGACACACAGGCAGGAAAATCAATAAGAGAGTAGATGGTGGATGAGGAGTCAGCTCTGGAGCATTCTGGGCCTCTGCTCTCCCTGCTAACCCGCTGTGGCCTGACCTTTAGTAACGGGAAAGAAAGTGATGACTGTCCTTCTGGACACCTGCTGTCTCTGGAGGAGCATTTTTGGCTTTGTTTTCTGAGACAAGGTTTCTCTGCATAACAGCCCTGGCTGTCCTGGAACTCACTCTGTAGACCAGGCTGGCCTCGAACTCACAGACATCCACCTGCCTCTGCCTCCCAGATGCTGGGATTAAAGGTGTGCATCACCACTGCCTGGCACATCCACTTCCATTTTTATTCCTATAAATGTGGTCTCCAGAGAAGAGCCAGGGGGTCCCTTTATAAAGTGTTGCCCTGATCAAAAGCTTCCGTCTTGCTTTGAGGGACCCCCCAAAGTAACTAACTAACAGTAACTAACACCAGACCGGAGTCTTCACTCTCTTCAGGGCTTTTTCTCACCAGGCCAGGCAACTTCTCCCCAAGCTCCATTCAAGAGGCTGCAGGCTACAGAAACCCACAGAGACAGCTGACCTGAACAAGGGGGAGCTCGTGGACCCTAGACTGATAGCAGGGAAACCAGCATTATACCGACCTCAGACCCCCCCCCCCCCGAACATGGGCCTCAGTTAGAAGGCCTGGGCAGTCTAAGGGACCTCTGACAGTGGAACCAGGATGTATCCCTGGTGCACAAAAGGACTTTGGGAGCACATTCCCAATGGAGGGACACTCCCTTAACCTAGAGGCAGGAGGGAGGGACTAGTCCCTACTCTAAATGATTTGACAGATTTTGTTGATTACTCCTGGAAGGCATCACCCTCCCTGTGGAGTGTATGTGTGTGGGAGGTGGAATGGGAGGGGAGGATGGGAGAGAGGGAGGGAGGGATCAATATGTAAAATAAAATAATAATAATAGGTTGCACACCTTCCTTGATGCTTCACGAGGGAGGCCATCCCTGACCCTGTCTCTAGAGGGCAGCACCTGCATGCCCAGGCCATCTTGTTTGCCCTGCCTCTCCTCCCTGGGGAGGATCGCTCTTTTCTGCTGCTTCTGGTTTTTTGTCTGTCTGTCTGTCTGTCTGTCTGTCTGTCTGTCTGTCTGTCTCTCTCTTTCTCTCTGAGACAGGGTTTCTCTGAGGCTTTGGAGGCTGTCTGGAACTGGCTGTTGTAGACCAGGCTGTTCTCTAACTTCTTCTGCCTGCCAAGTCCTGGGATCAAAGTCGTGTGCCACCGCCACCACCACCCTGGCCCTTTTGTCTCTTTTTAAAAAGGTTTATTGTTTTTGTATGTGCTCATGCCTGCATGTGTATACAGAAGCTAGGACATTGGGGCTCGCTGGAACTGGGGTTATGGGTGATTCTGAGAACTAAACCTGAGTCCTCTGTTAGTTCAGCAGATACTCTTAACCACTACCATCTCCCCTGTCCCTGGCTGTCTCCTTTGACTGGAAAGGAACTTTACTTCTTTCTCCACCTCAGCACCTGGACATATTGCTGAGTGGTTGACTGGCCCAGGGGATAGGTGCCAGGAAGCACCAGAGGTCTTCTGTGATGAATAACTGTGCGGTTATTGCTGTAATTGCTACTGTGTGGTTCCGGTGTTCCCAGGGGACCGTCCACCCTGCTTCCAGGCCCAGGTTTGCCTTCTTGCTTTTTATGTACCCTTCCCCTTCTTCTTGCCACTACTGTTGGTCTTTCTTGTTCCTTCTCTTCTTTCTTTGCTTTCAAGCAGTCCAGCGTGGATCTCTGTACAGGGCTAGACCCTCTCAGATGTACTCCAAGCTCTGCAGGATGTCATGCGTCAGGGCCTTTGTCTTCTTTGAGTTTCTGCTGTTAGGATGAGAAGAGCCTCCTGGGCAGGCATGGTGCTCAGTGATTTGCTCTGAGGAGGGCAGGACAGTCAAGTAACCTTCAGCAAAGGCGTAGGGAAAGGGTTCTGGGCACACATGGCACCCTCGCTGCCTGGAAACTTCAGAGACTCTCAGTGGAAGTTGGTAATTGGTGTGTAAGTGAGCCGCCATCGAGAGAGGGAATGCATGAGTGTGTGGTCTGCTGTTTGCAAAGTGCTGCCGTCTGTGTCAGATCCTGTCACTGTTTATGTCTTCCCTCTTCCAGGAGGCAGTGTCCTGCCTGCACTCATGATGACGAGGGACCTGGCTCTGGCAGGCATGCTGATTAGCCTGGCTTTCCTGTCACTGCTGCCATCTGGATGTCCTCAGCAGACCACAGAGGACGCCTGCTCTGTGCAGATTCTTGTCCCTGGCCTCAAAGGTAATTGCTCTTCTGCTGCTCTGCCGCTACCCTGGTCACGCCTCCGGGTGTCTCAGTCTTCTGCATGGCTTGACACTTCAGCACAAATTCACAAAGAATGAATGGCTCTGGTCCAGGTGCATCCTGGGAAATCTATCCACCTCTTGGGCTTGTGATTCCTTGACTACTAGATCAAAGTCCCACAACACTTAAACTGTTTCTTTTCTTTTCTTTTTCGAGATAGGGTTTCTCTGTGGCTTTGGAGCCTGTCTTGGAACTAGCTCTGTAGACCAGGCTGGTCTGGAACTCACAGAGATCCTTCTGCCTCTGCCTCCCAAGTGCTGGGATCAAAGGAGTGTTCCACCACCGCCCGGTCATTTAAACCTTTTCTAGTCAAGAAATTGCGGATTTCTCATTAGTGATATATATGCAACACAGCCTTCACCTCGGGAGCCTTGTGTGAGGGTTGTGTGGCTCATATGATCTTGTCCAGGATGAGCATGAACTGGAGAGCTGAGGTCCACCAGCCTCTTTCCTCCTGCTACAGTGTTTACATCCCGTGGCCTGTAGAGATGATTGTCTGCTTGCAGACACATTTGCAAATAGAGCAACAGTTCAATGGTATCTGTGACTTTTCTTCAAACCATAATGAAGGTATCAAAGTAGTCCTTGTCCTTCTTGAAAATGACGAGCACACTATAAAGATTCAGGTATTATGCTGTCCTGCCTGCCTTTGTCACCTGACGGAATGCACTCAGGCAGTACCCTGGTCAGCCCTAGGTTCCATGATGGTGCAGACTGCACGCAGGTGCAAAGGACCCCTTTAAAAGACAGACCCCGCCCACTTATGCTCTCTTTTTCAGCTTTCTGCTCTCTCTTCCCGCTGTGTGTTCCCCCTCCCCACAGGATTTTCCTATCTCCCTCTTCTCTTCTGTCCTGTCTGTCTCTTTATCTCTTTCCTCCCCACCCCCTTCCTTTTCTAATAAAACTTCTTACTAAGCTCTGCCTGCCTGGCATGTTTGTCCCCCACCTCGGTCACCCTCGCCTGCCATGTTTCCCCACGAGCTTTATCTTAACACACACACCTTCATAGTTGGGTCAGACATTATCAAAGCGTGACCCAGATGAAAGCTTTGAGTTCGCAGATGTAAATCTGACTTGACAGGGCACAAGCGGTGAATTATTTCTCCGAGGGAAGAGAAAGCTATTGACAGTGGCAAATGAGATGGCATCTGAAATGTCAACCTGACCTAATAGAAAGATGGCTGGGTCAGAGCTCCATGGTTGGGAGCGGGGGGGGGGAGAGCGAAGAGGGCCTGTGGAGCTGGGCTCTCTGTGGCTTGTTTATCAACACAGATAAGGAGTCCCTCCCACCCCCACTGAGCTTTCGCCAGTACTGAGAACATCTTTGATCTTGATGGCCACTCAGGGTTGCACTCCAAGGCCTCCTGGAACAGCTAGACATAGAGTCAAGCTTCCAGGCAAGGTCCCCATTGACTTGGATGTGGCCCAAGCTTCCAGGCAAGGTCCCCATTGACTTGGATGTGGCCCTTTAGAGGCAGAGGTCAAAAATGTTTTTGAGGCAAAGGGTCTCACTATGGAATCCTGACTAGCTGGGGACTCCACATGTAGAGTAGCCTGTGTTAAACTCACAGGACTCTGCCTGCCTCTGCCTCCCGAGTGCTGAGATCAAAGGCGTGCACCTCCACCATCTAGCAAAAACAACTTTTTTTGACAAAGTAGTCTCAGGACATGATATAATCATGGACAGAGCTGAGGACCTGCATTACGGATGGGTGGGGATGCTTCCGAGCCTGGGCATCAAGGTGGGTTATTGGCGGGGGTGGGGGGGATCAGCAGTGGGAATCAGGGGTCTTGTCCCCTTCTTCCCACTGTGGGTGAAATGGGAAGATTATCTGTGAGAATGACATTTAAATGAAAGGGCTTTTCTCATCAGTTGAGAGGGATAAAAATTCTTCATGTGGAGGTGAACCTTTAGCATTGTTCCAGGTGATATCAACCTTGGGTCTTTCAAGAGGGTCTCTCATTGACCTAGTGTTTACCAATTACTCTAGTATGACTATATGACTAGCCAGAGAGACCCAGAGATCCTCCTGACTCTTTCTCCCCAACACTGGGATTACACATGTGTGTGCTACTATGTTTGGCTTTTTAAATGGAGTTTGGGGATCAACTCCAGTGCTGTTTGTGGTGGCAAACACACTACTCAAAACTATTATTCCATTCCCCAACCACCATGTTTTAAAATGTTTTCATTGGTACGTTATATCTTATTCCTGCTATATAGTATGATAAGTGCTGTTTCAGGGTGTTATGGTGAGTTGGGATCAATATGAACGGTTTTTCAAATACAGGAGAGACAGACACCAGACACAAAAGGAGGTCAGGTGGAAGTTGTGTAATGAGCGTAGTGTTCCTTTTGCTTTCTTTTTAAAGGGGCCATCAGGTAAGTGACAGCAGTGGATGGACGATGGTCTCGTTCTCTCAGCTTTACCCTAATCCAGGTTCCGATGCCCAAAGAAGCTGTGGTCAGGCCCAGAGCCTGCACTTGGCTCATGACTCAGCCATCATAGCTCATGTCTTCACCAGTGTACACCCCCTGCCTCAAATGAGTGAGGGTCATGTGTAAGTTCTAGGAAGTTTCTAGGAGGCTTCTAGAAAAGCTGGAAGGTGTGCTTACAGTTACCTTTCAGTGAGTACCGACAATGCACCTGCTGTGGTTGAGGCCTTCTTTCGGGTGCTCTGGGACACCAGCCCCATGAAGAGAAGAGCCATAGTAGCTGCTTCTGGTGACACACAGAGCGATGCATGCACTAAGAAAGAAACACTTCCCCACCCTTGCTCATCTTTGATGGCCTTCTGCACTGGTGGGTTTTGCTGTTGCTCCTCTGTGGGTGATCACATTGTCCCCTGAGGTTCAGCCTCAGCCTGGCCCCAGCAGGCTCATCTGGAGAGCCTTTGATTCATTCCCTTTTGCCTGTGAGCCTTTCCTCAGAGCACTGCTCTGCTCTGCCTTCTCACCACACAGTTTCAGCTAAAAAGCCGCTTCAGTGGGGAGACATCTGATCTGATGCATGTGATGTCACTTTTGCTGAAGTTAGTGCCTCCTTCTATCCCGTATCCTGTGCAGCTAATGAGAATTCTCACGTCAATCTGACTTAAAGTATTTTTCCTCCTGGACGGCTCACAGAGCTTTCTCTTTGTTGTTGACGCTCATTTGGCACTGTCGCTGACATGTCTTCACTATTTGGCCCTGATTTTTCCCGTGTGGTCCTCTGCAGGCTTTTATTGTGTTCTTGCTTTCATGCACCGACCCCTACCCCCAGTACTGGAAAGTGTATCTGGCAGCTCTTTACAGGCTCTGGGGCGTTACATGTCACTCTCTTCCTCTCTCTGTCTCTCTGGGATTCTTGTGAGATGGGTTGGGGCATTTATGAGTTGTTTTTTCTTTCTCTTCCATCTCAACTTGATAACTTCAAAACAAAACCATCAAGGTTTCACAGTTGAGTGTTCCTTAGTGAGCAGAAATTCTGGCCCGAATGTTTTGTCTCCTGGGAAGCGAGTGAGCTTTTTTCCAGCCACTGCTTTCTATCTGTGAGGGTGAATTTCAAGCAGAAGATCCCCAGTGGGATTGCTGCCACACACCATCATGTCTCTCTCTCTTTGACAGGGTTTCACTATGTAGCCCTGGATAGCCTGGAATTCTCAATATAGACCAGGGTGTGTAGACCAAGAGGCAGAGACATGTGGATCTCTGTGAGTTTGAGGCCAGGCTGGTGTATAACTCAGGGTAAGCCTTTGGTGACTTTCTGTCTTTTAGAAGGAGAAAAACAATATCAAATTTGTGTTGTAGGAAGGTCTGATCAGGGTTAGGTTGGAGTTGAGGATAGAGAATAGGTCCCCTGGTTCTCTGTGACTCTCCTCATACCTGCGTACTCATCTTGTCAGAGATCCTGACTGCTTATTTATGCCTCTGACTCTTTACCTAGCCACTGGGCCCCAGAACATGGTCCCAGATAGCCCACAGAGAAGGCCACCATGGGTTATGCTGAGAGGACAAGGAAATGACCAGTGGACACCCCAATCTGATTTCCCCAGCATGTCACCAGGCCACATGTTTCTCTGGGGGACACCTAACAGTTACATTCTTCTTGTTGTTGGAGCAGTGTGGAGAGCCCTGTGGTGGGAAGATAGATCTGGAACCAGCCCAGAAGGGACAGTAGATAGAGGGGAAAACATGTTCCTGAAAAATACAGCAGTGTAGGGTAAGTGCATCCTGAGGTTAGACCCAGGTACCTAGAGCTCACCCCAGTGATGCTGGTTGCAGTTTAGGGTACGGTGGGCAGGGAGTAGGGCCAGATCGGGTACCATGTGTGAGAGCCTTCCTAATTCTTCTGTATGGGTGCATAACACCATAGCCCTGTCCTAGCCAGAAAGTGCCTAAACAGATATGACTTCTTCCACAGGGGATGCAGGAGAAAAGGGAGACAAAGGAGCCCCAGGACGGCCAGGAAGAGTCGGCCCTACGGGAGAAAAAGGTACTCACAATTCCAGCCTCCATGGGGAGAAGAAGGGTGGGAAAGGACAGAGCTCTCCTGAGATGGAGTTTAGGAAAGGAAGGCACAGTGCTGGCCTGCAGGGCCCTGAGGAAGACCTGTGCCCTTGAAACACAGCAGTGATGCTCTGGGAATACCAAGGTTCAGGATCATGAGTAAGCATCATATGAGGAGAGTGCAGCCATGAAGGTGGCATGAGGAAGGAGCAGGGCACAGGCTAGGGCATGGGAACAGCAGTGACCCACCTACCGAGGGGAATGGGCTGTGTGGAAGCAGTTGTATGCCACCTGGTGTGGTGCTGGGAATATAGCTCCAGTCCTCAGGAAGAGCTGTGTGCTCTTAACCACTGAGTGGGTTCTGCCTGTGGAGGCTCAACTGGCATACTTAAAGGAGCTAGAGCATGTGTGTGAAGGAGCCAGAACATACATACGCAGGGTTGACAACATTCATGGAGAGGGATGAGAGTACCCAGGTAGAAAATCAGGCTTTGGATACTGAATTAGCCACATCACACACAAAAGGGAGGATGTCCAAGGGAAGGGGCTAGAGGGTACGGGTGTCCCAGTTTACATTCATGGGATGGAATTTGAACATGCATGGAATGAAGGTGATTGCACAAGTAAAGAGCCACCGTAACAGCCGGCTCTCAGTGTGTGTGGCTGTCAGCCATAGGATGGCATCGTCTTTACTACTTTATATTTTTAAATGCTTTATTATTTAAAAAGAAATATCTATATCTATCTATCTATCTATCTATCTATATATATATATATATATATATATATATATATATCTGCCTGCATGTGGGTTTTGTGCACCTGAGAGCGATGTCTGTGTAGATCAGAAGGGAGTTTGGTTCCGCTGGAGCTGGAGTTACCTGCAGTGGCTACTGGGCCTCCTGAAGAGCAGAGTTCATTCATTCTCTTACACGATTTATTTCTATTGTTTTAGTTGTGTGTGTGTGTGTGTGTGTGTGTGTGTGTGTGTGTGGTGGTATGTGTGCATGAATATGAGTTCCCAGAGTCCCCTCCAGCCTCTGGATTTATACGTCTCACAACTGCAAACATGACCATATCTGTAGCTGGGTTTGACCTTCAACTTGTGCCAGTATCCTTTTATTTACAGTGTATCCTTGGCTTGTGAGTGTTCTGGTAGCCTCATCAGGACCCTCTGTTCTTCTAGAACATTCTCCTATTATTGCTTTCTCTCTGTCACTTGTAATGTAGATGCTTTCCTTAGCTAACCTGAAACTGATTCCTGAAGGCAGGGTTTAAATGACTCCACCAGACCCAAGATAAATGATAATTAGGTATTTATTAGGGAAGCACTTACACAGACAAGAGTAAATAACTGCTGTGGTTTTCCTGCTCCAGAAGATGCAGTCTCCGCATTTTGCATGATCTCATTGCAACCCAAGAGCTCCAACCAGCTCTTCCTCTACCTTATAATAAGGGGTCAAGTCTGAACGTGAAACCACGCCCAGAGGGTGTGGCCACTACTACAAGTTCCCTGGCAAAGCAAGATGCCACTACAGATTCTCACTATGTCCAAATTGGGCACTGTTGCGAAAGTCTGGGAGCCGATGGATGGAGCCTCTACTGTGTTATCTCAATGCCACTTCCCTCTTCACGTCTCAAACAGACTCAGTTGCCAGGCAGCAAATCAGGCAGCAGGGACCAAGTACCAGGCCTTGCTGCTCCTCACTTTCTGTCTGGCTAACTTCCAGGCCCACTCTGAGGTGTGAGCTGCCCTCCCCACCAGCCTGCAAGCTTTACAGATGTCTGCTCATGGTAGTGCTGTGGCAGGCCCTCCTGGGGCCTCTGGCTCCATCTGTTGGGGATAGTGCAACTCTCCTCTGTTGTCTCCTGGAGGCTAGAGAAACCTTTCTTGGGGACTAAGATTCCTGGCACTTTGCTCCCCTAGACATGAAAGTAGGGCCCAGGCATGTGCCTCTGCCCCAGTGTCCCCTTGAAGAGGCCCACACACAATGCCAAGGCCTGGAGTGCGTTCCCTGCTTGGTGCCACACTAAGGTTTTTTGCGTGTTAGTACTGTATTCTGCCTCCTGAAGGAATCTGACTCCCTCTCTTTCTTCCTCCACATCCATTGTCTTGCTGCTGTGTCCAGTGTCCAGTGTGTAAAATAAAGGTGGTCACCCATTCCTACAGTTCGGCACTCAGGAGAGAGACTGTGACAGAGAGACACAGAGAGAGAGGGAGAGAAGGGGAGAGAGGGGGAGGGAGAGAGGAAGAGAGAGGGAGGGAGAGACAGGGAGACAGAGGGAGATATAGAAAGGGAGAGGGAGGAGGGAGAGGGAGGGAGAGGGAGGGAGACCATGAGGAGTCCTTTATAAACATTAAGGGGAGCTATGAGGTCTGACCTCTCCATCCAAGTGTGGGGCTAGCAGGCACCTCACTACCTTGTTAAGTAGTTAACATTACTGCATGAGTCATCATTATTGATTGGAGCCAGGTGGGGTGAGGTGCATAGTTGATATCACAGACCACTAGGGTTGGGTTCCAAGTAGTTGGAGTCTCATTGCTGATGTGGAATTTTCTGATTCTCTTTTTCTGGGCCACGGCTTCGTGTATCACAGGCTGGCCTTGAGCCCACTGTGCAGCCGAGGATGACTTTGAAATCATCCTCCCTACCCAGCCTCCTGAGTGTTGGGTTTACAGGTGAGCACCACCACACCCGGTGCAGCGGCTGCCTTTCCTGTTGTTGTGGTAGGATACCTTGACCAAAGTGACTCTAGGAAGGGCTTGACTCACAGTTTGAGATTAAGGTCTGTCATCTCTAGCATTGGCAAAACTTGAAGCCACCTTTTAGGTAGGCCACCACTTCATGAGTAGCCTGATCTCACGTAAATAAAATCTACGGGAAAGAGGCCCCAGGTGCAGCACCTGTGGCTTGGGAGCAGATCTGTTAAGTGACACCTTCAAAGGATGCTATGACGGATGCTCAGTGAGTGCCACCATTGAACAGACCCGGTAACCATTCCTTTTGTATTTGACACCAGTGTGGACGTGGGCTGATGGGGACAGATGTACATGGCTTTCAGTTTCATGTCTCCGGGGCTCAGTCTGACACTGGTAGCCTGAGAGCGCTCCCTCCATCAGTTATCTCAAATAGATCTCGAGATGTAATATCTTTAAACATCTTTGAAGTCCCTGGGTGACCTAGACTCTGGCTGAGCTCTCCCCCCTAGTAAGCGAGCTGACCTTCCTGAGTCTAGGGAGGTCTGCAAGTTCCCATGCTGGGCTGTAGCCTCTATAGAGCATCAGCCTCAGGAAGGCTTGCATTAACAGGCCTGGGTGCTGCAGTGGCAGGGTGTGTTTCCCAGGGCAGTGGGCTCCCCACCCTGGGTCTGGACAGCCCATCTTCCACCAGATGTAATTTCTGCCCATCTGGGACTACTATGGAGGAAGTGGCTGCAGAGTAAGCAGCACCCTGCCAGGGAGGAAGACAGAGCCTGCTGGTGAATTGCCTTTACTGAAACAAAGCCAGGCAGGATGGAGCCAGCAGAACTGCCTGCTGTCATCTGCTGTTTATTGAGGCAAGAACAGCATCTGCATTTTGGGTTGTATGCTGTTTGGCAGGTGTAGAGTGGCTCTGCTGATGTGACCTGATACATGTGTGTTGTCCCAGATTTTTCTGTCTGGTCCCCAGACTTAAGCTGTGACAAGAGCGGGTGGCTGCCTTGTTTCCTCCGTAGAGGCTGGAGCCCCTCCTGGCACAGACAGTGGAGGGCAGCTGCACCAGCACCGGCTGTCATGCGCTGTAACATGCTGCACACACCATCCTTCATAAAAATCGCTGAGGAGGCTGAATTGCAAGTGCCCCTTTTGCCCTATCTCCACTTCAAAGGGCTCCGATATCTTCATTAAAATTAATATGAATCATGCACCTGCTGTGAGCTGCCCACCTGCTCTACTCCTCCTGCGTGTCTGGAGAACAAATGGGAACCACCCCGCTTCTCATTAGAGTAATGGGCTGTAAGGACTCGGCAGGTCACAATGGCTCCCAGCATTTGGAGTGTCTCAGTCAAGCTTCTCCACTTAAAGGCACAGGCGATAAACGTGTCTCAGTGCCACCGAGCATGTGTGCACACTGCATAAAGCCAGCTATCCTGAGAAACAGCTGGAAGACCTTCCTGGAAGTAGGAAGGAAATGCCAGCTTTTGTCTGAATCTCCTCCTGCAGGAGCTTTAGCCTTGTGCGGGCGCTGACACTTTGCCCACAGAGCTAAAACAATTCTGACCAGAAAGGGAGGATGAGAAGACAGTCTTGATGTCTCAGTGGTTTTCATCTTCTCTTCCTCCTCATCACATCCAAACAATAGGATATTCCTGGCTGCAGCAGCTGCCAATCCCGTGTTAAGCTATTAAGGTAGAGGGTCAGATATCAAAAGGTCTATGTGCCCTACCCCTGCTTTGAGTAAACAGGGTTCTAATCCAACTCTGTGCTAACCATGGGGTATGTGAGGATCGACCATTTAGCATGTATGTTCACACTCAAAGCATGTGTATTGTGTGTATATGTATATGATTATATGCAGGCACACCCAAAACATATGTAAATTACTATTTGTATGCTTATATGTAAGTGTGCATATATAAACTGTCATGTGTTTTTATGCCTACGTATATGCACATGTGTTTATGTGTGCAAGTACTGTGTATGTGTTTGCATTCACATGGATATTTGTGTGTCTGTATGGTACACATGTATCTTTGTGTGCACATATATGCATGTGAATTAATTCACATGTATTATTTTATATAGAGTACACAAATATTTGTAGTAGGGGAAACAGAGGTTTATTTAATTAATTATTTATTTTTTGTTTTTTTGAGACAGGGTTTCTCTGTATTGTTTTGGAGGTTGTCCTGGAACTAGCTCTGTAGACCAGGCTGGCCTTGAACTACAGAGATCCACCTGCCTCTGCCTCCCCAAGTGCTGGGATTAAAGGCGGGAGCCACCAA